CGAAATGTTCAAGTTTATTTGCTCTCTAAATACTTCGTCATCCATAGTAAAATGAACCCCTGATTGAAATGAATACTTTTGATTGGGGAAGTAAACAGTTATCTAAAATACAAAGAAATAAATCAAACAAAGTTTGAACTGAAAATCAAATATATCTTTTTAAAAGGTGATTGTTGCCAAATATATTCCTGCTGAATTAGGACCAGCAGGAATCATACAATCTTCCTCACATAAACTTTACAATGTCATATTTTCAAATTATTTTAAGGACAAAATTTTGTTTTGTTCACCCGTCTCCCTGTTAATTGATGAAGTTGACTTACTATTCCCTTTGTGCTGGGGCATCACTGAATCATGATGCTGTTGCCATGGAAACTGGTGATACCCATCATGACAAAACAACTGATAATGTGTGTCCACTGCAAACAGGACAGGAACAGGTTCCCCGTGAGATGAAACCCTACACTGATATTGCATTTGTGAAGATAAGCATTACCCCAATTACAATAATTGATCAGACACTATGGAAACAAACGATACAACAATTGTTTCCTGTTAGTTCAGAGACGTAAAAGATTAGGCCACACTTGTCATATCCACGGTTTACAGATCACTTGTAAACCAGGGCCCCATTCCACGAAGCAATCTTACCGCTACGATTATCGTAAGACTATATGTTAAAGTGTGGGATTAAAGATTGACTTAGCGCTAAGATCACTCTGGGAACGGGACCCTGATAGTTAGGGTAAGCAGATATCTGTTTTCTAGTTGTAGAGCTTAATCTTTCTTTCTTATTTCAAAGAGTCTGGGTGGATTGCATTTTGACGGCTACCAGTTACTTATTGTTAGATGATTGGAGTATCTTTTGTACATTTCTGGTCCATCAAAGCAGTAGCGAAACTTCTTTCAGCTATTTTCTGACTGTGAAGTACTTGTTACAGCAAAACTTTTTATCATTCATGGTTATCTTGGTTTTCAGAAGTAAGGAAATTTGTAACACAGTATTTCAGCAATTTACAGTAAACTCAGTGAGAGGTGCTTAGTGGTGCACACAGCCATGTTACAGACAGTGGTCACCAACAAGGTGCTCCGTCTCAGTGGTGCACACAGCCATGTTACAGACAGTGGTCACCAACAAGGTGCTCCGTCTCAGTGGTGCACACAGCCATGTTACAGACAGTGGTCACCAACAAGGTGCTCCGTCTCAGTGGTGCACACAGCCATGTTACAGACAGTGGTCACCAACAAGGTGCTCCGTCTCAGTGGTGCACACAGCCATGTTACAGACAGTGGTCACCAACAAGGTGCTCTGTCTCAGTGGTGCACACAGCCAGGTTACAGACAGTGGTCACCAACAAGGTGCTCCGTCTCAGTGGTGCACACAGCCATGTTACAGACAGTGGTCACCAACAAGGTGCTCCGTCTCAGTGGTGCACACAGCCATGTTACAGACAGTGGTCACCAACAAGTTTAAAAATCAAAATTATTAACCATAAATTTCACTATTGATGTCAGTGTTCAACTCAGCCACAAATGTAAAAATCTTAATTATTTTTCCTCTCATTTTTCAATGGATTCTGAAAATTGTAATTTTCATAAGCTTCTTGTTTTACAAATGGTGCCCCAGCTGTTTTCAGGTTCCTAGTTCCTTCTCAATACCTTCACACTCTATGTACATATATGCCTAGCAAAGCATCATAAAGATTCCCATTGTACCCTTCCAGTATATTGTATTCAAGGTCATTAGACGCTCAATGTCCATTTGCAACTATTTCTCACATGCAAAATGGCACTCAAGCCAGAAATCAATGCATGTTGTCACTTAAATTGTCCTGAAATGATATCCACATGAATTATTGTGCCCATGATACCAAACCTATCAAAACAATTTCCTTTTAAGCAGGACAAAAATTGATTTAAATCTTCTATTTCATGTGACCCCACACAGAGCAATTGACGACATTAATCTGGAAATGGCACTACAATCTACATGCCATGGTGTTCATCAAAATATTGTCTTTGGCAAAACGACTATGAATATCTGTATTGACTCGGCCTGCCCATGTCTCCTTCATCTTGAAGTGATATTGATGATGCTGTAACAACAGTGGTTGTTGGCTTCCTAATGCAATAAACATGAGGAATTGGGCAACTGATTGTCAGTCTGTCAAATTTAGATAATAAATTCTACCTGCAATCAGAAACCATTTGTCAAAGAGTGACATTTCATCAGGAACAAACTGTGATGCAGAAAGAAAACGTTGGCCATTGTCACAAAAAGTTGCACTTCTACATACAGTAAGATTAAAGTGTGTACAAATATCAACAGCTAGGGCAATATTTACCAAACAATGTTAGCTCCTGTGTGCATAAGTCCGCTCATCTAGATATGAACCACATCAACCAATTGCTAGTTGAAAGTTGGTCTACCTAATGGCTCTGCCAAGCTGTTTTGGCCATCCAGTGCGGGACATTAATATATGACAGATAAACAGATTGCTGCCAACTACGTAAGTCACAGTCAAACCCAAACATCAGATCTAACAGTCACCCCAATAGACCACACCACAGAGTGAAAAGTCACACCCATAGACCACACCACACAGTGAACAGTCACATCCATATACCACACCACACAGTGAACAGCCACACCCTTAGACCACACCACACAGTGAACAGTCACATCCATATACCACACCACACAGTGAACAGCCACACCCTTAGACCACACCACACAGTGAACAGTCACACCCATAGACCACACCACACAGTGAACAGTTACATCCATAGACCACACCACAGAGTGAATAGTCACATCCATATACCACACCACAGAGTGAACAGCCACACCCTTAGACCACACCACACAGTGAACAGTCACACCCATAGACCACACCACACAGTGAACAGTTACATCCATAGACCACACCACAGAGTGTATCTACGTTCAAACTTACCCGTATAGTCAAACAGTCACACCCGTAGACCACACCATACAGTGTATCTATGTTCAAACCCAAACAGTATAGTCAAACAATCACACCCATATACCACACCACAGAGTGTATCTACGTTCAAACTAACCCGTATAGTCAAACAGTCATACCCATATACCACACCACAAAGTGTCTCTATGTTCAAATCAAAACAGTATGGTCAAACAGTCACACCCATATACCACACCATAGAGTGTATCTATGTTCAAACCCAAACAGTATAGTCAAACAGTCACACCCATATACCACACCATAGAGTGTCTCTAGACACATTCAGTCTTGGTAGCATTAATGCCCCCTTCCTTATTGACCCCTCATATGTGCAATATTCCAAGACAACTGGGAATCTTGGCTGTAAGGTCCATTAGCCAGCCTCATGATTGTAGCTGGAATATTCATTACACTCTTTTCACTAAATGGTACATTTCAGTAATGACATTCATTTGACTGTTCATAACGCCATATTGAACTGACATTTGGAAATGTAGAAACCCAGTGCTACATTTAACCTTCCGGTAGTGCTTCATGGTATATCATTTGTAGGGACCAGGTGTACTGTACCCAGTATGGTGGTTAAGAACTATTTCAGTGGGCAAGTATCATTTCTGAAATCCTGACACAAATCACTGGACTGGAGGACAACTGACCATTTCCAGCAGCAGCAACAGGAGCGGCTATAGATGCCCTGGTTCATTACCCACTGGCATCCAAGTCATCAGCCTTGGACAAAACAATGGGCTCTTTTGGAAATTGAAACCCTCCTCAAAAACAATACCATCAAAGAAGTCTGTTCATGAATAAATATCAGAAGCAGTCAGAATATTCCACCAGACAGTAGAATGTCATCTTGCATGAGAGTGCCTGCATGAAAATATTGATTACATGTCAAATTTTCATGACATCAAAGCAATTTGGTTTGAGCAAGAACATTGGTCACATGGAACTAGGGGCCTTTGGTGGTCCAGGGGGTAAAAATGTGCAAGTACTGGACCAATTCTTTCAATTGGAATTAGTTTGAAAGCTTAACATGTCTGGGATGAATATTAGTATGCAAATTTATGCACATATTACAGTTTCAAAAACAGTGCATAACATTAGTTGTTGATATTGATGCATCCCGCATGATGTTTCTGTACTACGGGCAAGTGTACAATAATACAGTAGGTTAATGTAAACACTGGATGAATAAAGATACAAATAATGTAAATGTTTAACAGTACTGAGGGACAGTAGCCCACCTGACAATATCTGGTCCATAGCTGATAATGTCAGCAGAAACAACCACTTCGGATACATGTAGTTAGTATCAACATCACAATGTGAGTAAAGAATAAGTTGTAATGATCAGGAATATGTATAACAAGTTTCAGCTTTATCAGTCCGGTGGCTTCTGGGAAAAAGATGTATAGAAGGAGGAGGAGGATGGAGGATGGCTTAGATGGACAATGGCTAAACAGGACACAAGCTCAGTTGGGCTTATACAAAGGTAAACTCATCATGAGATGCGGTGAAATGGTGTTTCATTCACGTCCACGATTATTGCACTTATATAACTACGTGCATGCACGTGTGTGTGTGGGTGTGTGGGTGTGTGGGTGTGTGGGTGTGTGGGTGCTTGTGCTAGTCCGGACTAATTTTATTTGTGCCGATTTTATAGTGCTAGCCCACTCAGATACCATAACGAGTTTAACATGAATACCCCACTCAGAAACAGTATACTGTCTCCGAGCCAAACAGTCCTTGTTTTAGCCCCATAATGCTGAGCAACAGGCAGGGTAACAACAAGTACCATCTTTTGGCATGATGCGGCTGTGGATCAAAATCCAAACCTTCAGCTCTCTGGGCAGATGCTCTACCACAAGACCACGGAAGAAGTAATCACAAGCAATTCCTTTTAAGGACCTGAACTAAAACTTTCCCTAACACAGTATCCTTGCTGGTTTCCATTTAGTTCCATTTACAAAAAGGCATGGGACCAAAGTAACTAGTTCAAACAATACTTACCCATACACAGGGTCTACAACAATCCCACGAGGCTTGTCCAGGTCAAAGCCAATCAAAATCCTGCGCCCACTTCCGTCATAGTTGGCAACTTCGATGGTTTGTTTCTGTGCGTCAGTCCAGTACACATGGTTAGAGATCCAGTCCACAGACAGTCCATTGCATTCCTCAACATCTGCAACATACACAAGAGGAAACCATTGTAAGATTCATCAAACTTACTGTTTCATCGATTTGATGGATGACAGGCTTCGGAAGTTCAAGACGGCAGAAACATGCCAAAAGGACTAAGCTGAAAAGCCCTGTGTACCAGCACTGTCATTGTGAACCTTGAGCTAACTGACTTTGATTATTATCATAATTAAGAACCACAACAGGACGAAACTGACTAGATTTATTTGGCTGAAGTAGGTAAAAGATGCAGACAAGTTACAATATTTGGCACATAAAGTCACACAATAAGAAAGTGTATACTTGAATTAATTAAACCCCAATGAAACAAGCAAGTAATCACACACTGTATGGCACAAGTGATATTTTATAAGATATGAAACCAACTAATATAGACAATGTTTATATAATAGTGCGCCTTATACCTGTAAGTAGGCATGAAATGTAATATATATGATGGAATTGTTTGGTGACTTAACATGCAGAGAATTGAAGTTTATGCCTGACAGTGAGAATGAAAAATTATGTAACCTAAATTGAGTTAATCAGGTCTAATGTTGAAAAGTAAATATACAAATTAGGTAAGTTAGAAAATTTAATCTTAAAGTGAAAATATTAAGTTGCCACTAAGACTGTAAATTGTACCTAGTCTACAACCCACTAGGACATACAACAAGAATATACGGAACGGTAAAGGCGGTGGGTTGGTGCGGTACATGCGTATGAATTAGAGTTTAGCTAGCCAATGACACTGAAAGGCAGGAATTTGTACCATATTGCAAGGTATGATGGGAAAATAGAAATTTAGGTCTTGTCAGCCCGAGACGCGAATTTAGAAACAGGCATTGTGGGTAGAAACTTGACTGGAAAAGGCCTAGCAAAACGAAAACTGGATCAACAAAGCAATACCTCAGGTGTATGGTATAACCTAGCAGGCTGAAAACTGTATCAACAAAGCTATACCTCAGGTGTATGGTGAAACCTAGCAGGCTGAAAACTGTATCAACAAAGCTATACCCCAGGTGTATGGTAAAACCTAGCAGGCTGAAAACTGGATCAACAAAGCTATACCTCAGGTGTATGGTGAAACCTAGCAGGCTGAAAACTGGATCAACAAAGCTATACCTCAGGTGTATGGTGAAACCTAGCAGGCTGAAAACTGTATCAACAAAGCTATACCCCAGGTGTATGGTAAAACCTAGCAGGCTGAAAACTGGATCAACAAATCGATATTAGATACCATTATGTAGAACATCTTGTAACTTAATAAATATCATGTCACACCTCACATCAGAATCTCATAGCAAATGAATGTAGATTGTGGACACATGGTTAGGTCTGTGGTCAAACTTATTTATTTCCCATGTATTTCTGAAGTGACCGCCTCTGAACTGCCATGTTTAGTTTTTTCTACATCATATACACATTTAGGGCTTCAATCTCGTCAAATATGAAACCACAGCCACCCTTTGACACAACATCCTCACATGTGAACCCAGACATGTGGTTGAAAGGTTGAGTGCTGAAGGGACAATTGCCAACAGGAAAGGCTGCATTGGTGGCATTGATGATCTTAGTTAATAGTAAGTGCGTTACAACTTAACGTCAGTCACATCGGCCATATTTCAGCCTCATAGTGGTGGGACAAACTTAGACATTAATAATAAGTATATATAGACTGTATAAGAACCTGTCATTGAAGGACAGCAAAATAACTAGACTATCACAATTTATATCTAAAACTGGATGTTATAATAAAAAGATATCACAAAAAATAACAACACAAAATAGAAACGGGCTATAGATTGCAAACAATTGAAGGTAGATCACCATGCTAGGGGCCATAGGGCCCCAACAGGATTTACACCATCCCTTCACTCTCAGGCGATTATACGCAATTTTAGCCACAATCAAAATTACAAATATTCCACTTTTAAAAGAGTAGCAGACATAAATATTCTTTGAATGTCATGGACTTATGATATCTTAGTTAACAGCTACAACCTTCATCAAAATATTGGAAGACACTGAATGGTTCCTCATCTCTTATTAGAAAAGACAAAATTTGACTTCCTGTTCCACTATTACATCATTGTTTTGTGAAACAGAATGTGACATTTCAGTCAGCTCTGCTGTGTCCTCCCTAGCGAGCACCAGTGATTGTACAGTGTAGGTTGGCTGTTATGTCCTCTCTAATGTTGATCAGTAATCTAACTTCAACAAACCCCTCTCAGAACCAGCTAGGTCATACCGTTCCACTCTCATCAAGACACTTCACCACACACACCCTGTAACTTGTCTCCACATATATCACCATAAAAGCCATCGCAATAAAATTGCTTTGCTGAGACTTTCAATATTTCTACAGTCCCCATAAAAAATACTTGATTTACCAGGTTCCGAAAATGTACTGTAATGCTAAAATCCCATTTTGAAAACTATAAGCACTTTATGGCCTATTGCTGAAAGGTTTAATCATTTCCTCACACCCAATACTGAGCTCATATCAATCATATCTCCATACACTACCCTATTACGTAAATTTCCATACGACACCTGTCATGTCGAAATCGACCATGTATATTGCCCATGTACGGTAGTGGAGATGATTAACGTAATCAATTTCCCAGCCATCAATCAGCGACCCTGTGACCCCCCTCATCCAACTCATCAGGAATTGATCTCCCTTCAAGCAGCAACTTGTTCCTGGGAATTCAGTGGGGCTCCTCACTCAAAAAATGTCCCAGACATCCTCTCCAAATGCTCATAAAGTCAAATTTTTCACACGGCTAAATTACCCACATTGTTGACACGTGGCCTTTGCATCGGAGCTGAATCAAGGAGGCCAGTCACTTCTTTCAAGCCATATCACATTTGGCCTCAACAAGTCACCATAAGTTTAAACTGCCATGCCTGTGTCAAAAGTTCAAAGGCTGTGATAACTTAATTAACAAAATGTTTTCCTCATGCTTATAAAGTTGTATGAAAAAAGCAATGTTCTCAATTAAACACAGCACACTTGATTTCAGATCAATATAAATTACTGAAAAACATTTCACACAAGGATCACTAACCTGTTAAATGAAATCACATCTTTTGCCATATTTAAAGCGTAACATTGGAAACAGAATTATTTTCAAACCTTTGTCAATGAAATGAACTTGAAGCAGATGCTAGCAGTGTCAGTGCTGATTGCTACTAATCAATTCTAACGAAATTATACGGGGTTGTTTTAGGGCTCAGAATGCTTCAAGGATTGTACCTCTTTGTTGTACTTTTTACTTTTACTTCCATCTTAGTACTAAGACTACAACGGTCTAGGCTGTAGAACTGGACCTGTGACAGTCATGAGGGTAGCACATGTCTGCTACCAGACACTGGACACTGAGGTGAAAGCCATGACATGACTCCCCAAGTGGGACAACACAAATCCTGAAAGTGTGATTTAAGGCACAAACTATTTTTCTGTTTAGTCTGATCTGTGGCATCAAGTTGTTTCTATGTTCACAACCAGCAGCAGGTCTGTAACTGTCAGTGGCGAGGGATGTCATTATATATAGTGTATCTAAGACCACTTCCCAGAGCAAGCTTATATCAAAGCAATCATGTCCACCATAAACTCAACAGCTGTGAAACTGCAGTAATAAAGTAAGAAGTAAATAGTCCCATGATAATTCTACACAGAACCAAAATATTCCAGTGAAGTTTTCAAGCATAAAACTGATACTCCACAAGGAGTCCATAGGCCATGAGGTGCACACACAATAAATATACCCACTGTGTGCAGTCACAACATGAGGATACTATTAACAGATACATTATACCATGATATCCTAATGATACTACAACTGTAGGCTAGTGGTTACCCAGCTTCAATGACAAGAGTTTACTCCACTTCAGGGATGATAAGTGTTTACTTCACTTCATGGATGATAAGAGTTTACTTCACTTCATGGATGATAAGAGTTTGGTCCACTTCAGGGATGATAAGAGTTTACTCCACTTCATGGATGATAAGAGTTTACTTCACTTCATGGATGATAAGAGTTTGGTCCACTTCAGGGATGATAAGAGTTTACTCCACTTCACGGATGATAAGAGTTTACTTCACTTCATGGATGATAAGAGTTTGGTCCACTTCAGGGATGATAAGAGTTTACTCCACTTCAATGATGATAAGAGTTTACTCCACTTCAGGGATCACAAGAGTTTGGTCCACTTCAAGGATGATAAGAGTTTACTCCACTTCATGGATGATAAGAGTTTGGTCCACTTAAAGGACGATAAGAGTTTACTCCATTTAAAAGATTATAAGAGTTTACTCCACTTAAAGGACGATTAGAGTTTACTCCACTTCAAGGACGATAAGAGTTTACTCCACTTCAAGGACGATAAGAGTTTACTCCACTTCAAGGATGATGAGAGTTTACTCCACTTCAAGGATGATAAGAGTTTACTCCACTTAAAGGACGATAAGAGTTTACTCCACTTCAAGGATGATGAGAGTTTACTCCACTTCAAGGATGATGAGAGTTTACTCCACTTCAAGGATGATGAGAGTTTACTCCACTTCAAGGATGATGAGAGTTTACTCCACTTCAAGGATGATGAGAGTTTACTCCACTTCAAGGATAATGAGAGTTTACTCCACTTAAAGGATTATAAGAGTTTACTCCACTTAAAGGATGATAAAAGGTTTAATGATTTGTAGCAGTGTAGAGCATATTAAAACATTATCAAGTTTGCATACAATGTTATTAAGTTGAGACTGTACATTCAACAGATGAGTTCTCACCAGCCCCCACAACCTCTGACATTTAGTTCCTACTCCCAAACCAAACAGACCCATTTCTACATTTCTCCAACATTTTGAGACCTCCTCTTGTGAAGAGTGGTCTACTGATGCCTCGTTAGATGGCACCAAGGATTCTTCTGCGTTTATTTTGGTAGCTATGACACTAACAATGGTCTGAGTTGATGGAATCAGCCTGTCTCCCATTGTGT